ACCAAGACCCAAAAGAAAGGTGACAAGAAGCGTAGAAAGACTAGGAAAGAGAGCTACTCCATCTACGTGTACAAGGTGCTCAAGCAGGTGCACCCCGACACGGGCATCTCCTCCAAGGCCATGGGCATCATGAACTCCTTCGTCAACGACATCTTCGAGCGCATCGCCGGCGAGGCCTCGCGCCTGGCGCACTACAACAAGCGCTCCACCATCACCTCGCGGGAGATCCAGACGGCCGTGCGGCTGCTGCTGCCTGGCGAGCTGGCCAAGCACGCCGTCTCCGAGGGCACCAAGGCTGTCACCAAGTACACCAGCTCCAAGTAGGGCGTCTCGGACCGTCACTTTCAACCCAAAGGCTCTTTTAAGAGCCACCCATATATTCAGTAAAAGAGTCTGTCACACTAATTACTTTCGGTGAGTGGTATTTGTAATTGGTCCTGGTTTAGTTCCCAGGCTAGGACATGCTGTTAAAAGAGTAGGGGAAAATGTTTATCCTGTTTATTGGGAAAGATTTGGGTCGTCTTGTGAGTGTCCTATTCTGGCAGGCTGTTTGCCAGGTCTATAAAAGGAATGCTAAGCACCTAATCGAGTTTTAAAGCTATTTGTTCTCCTTCCTCCTTTTAAGAGTATTTATATCTGTTCTAATTATTTACAACGACAGTCTTGTCTCAGTGCAGTTAATGCTTTTTTTTTCCTAATAAAATATCGTTGTCCCCTTTAAATATTAGATGTCATCCTCAAGTGACTTGGCTGCAAGCCAAAGCAGCTTGTTTACGCAGGACGGTCTTTAGGGATTAGTCTGTGATATTTGCAAGGGAATGTTTAATGAAATCTATGCCTCCAAGCACAGCAGAAGTAAAAATGGTATAGAGAACAGTATAATTCACTAGCTCCTCAGGTTTCATAAGGGAGTGGCGTACCTTTTATTGTATCCCGTGGAGCATAAGCGCGGCAGAATTAAGGGGTTTCTAAGTGACAACATAATAGGAAATTACAAGTTAAAATAAGGGACACTCAAAAAAAAACAAAACGAAAAAAAAAACTAAACCAAACAAAAAAAATTACCAAAGGTGAGCACTTTATCGCACTTGAAGTTGCTCGGGTTGCACAGGGAAGGCTGTTTTTAAGAAAATGCCTTTTACGAGGGAACTTGAATCCTGGTTGTCCCGAACAGAGGCCGCGATTAAAGCGTTTGCTGCGGGGTGAAAACTCGGCTGCCCGGTTACAGCTGTGGCACCGCGTCCGGCTGCCTCCGGCCCCGCTCCGCCGGGCGGAGCTGCAAGAGATGAGAAGAGGGAGCGC